TTAATCTTGTTTTTAAGTTGTATTCATTCAACTTGTTTTTATTATTGCTTGTTAGCCGCCCTGAGCCCGGCCTTGGCTGGGGAGGGCGGGGTATAAATAAAAATTATTATTATTACTGTATATTAATAATAATAATAATAATAAATTTTATTTATATCCCGCCCTCCCCAGCCGAAGCCGGGCTCAGGGCGGCTAACAACAATAAAACAGTACAAAAGTACAGCATAAACAACAGTCTAAAATCATTCGTTATAAAATTAATTAATTCAAGCCACTGGCAACCATTGGGCCAGAGCTCCGCGAAGATTGCCGAGGGAGGGAGTCAGGCTGTGCCCTGGCCAAAGGCCTGGTGGAACAGCTCTGTCTTGCAGGCCCTGCGGAAAGATGTCAAGTCCCGCAGGGCCCTGGTCTCTTGTGACAGAGTGTTCCACCAGATCGGAGCCACAGCCGAAAATGCCCTGGCTCTAGTTGAGGCCAGCCTAACTTCTCTGGGGCCTGGGACCTTCAAGATGTTTTTATTCGAAGACCGTAAGTTTCTCTGTGGGGCATACCAGGAGAGGCGGTCCCGTAGGTACGAGGGTCCTAGGCCGTATAGGGCTTTAAAGGTTAAAACCAGCACCTTAAACCTGATCCTGTACTCCACCGGGAGCCAGTGCAGCTGGTATAGCACCGGGTGAATGTGATCTCGCAGCGAAGACCTCGTAAGGAATCTCGCTGCAGCATTCTGCACCCGCTGGAGTTTCTGGGTCAGTCTCAGGGGCAGCCCCACGTAGAGCGAGTTACAATAATCCAGTCTGGAGGTGACCGTCGCATGGATCACAGTGGCTAGGTCAGGGCGAGAGAGGTAAGGAGCCAACTGCTTAGCTTGGCGGAGATGGAAAAATGCCGCCTTTGTTATAGCTGCAATCTGCGCCTCCATGGAAAGGGAGGTGTCGAAGATTACACCCAAACTCTTAACGGACGGTGCTGGCACTAATTGCGCCCCGCAAGAGATGGGAGTTGCCCCCAATCCCATATCGCCCCGTCCCAGCCACAGGACCTCTGTCTTCGAAGGATTTAGCTTCAACCGGCTCCCACGAAACCATCCAGCCACAGCTTCCAAACATCTAGTCAGTGTGTCTGGGGCCGAGTCAGGATGGCCATCCATCAACAGATAGAGTTGGGTGTCATCGGCATACTGATGGCAACCCAGCCCAAAACTCCGAACAAGCTGGGCGAGGGCGCATAAAGATGTTGAAAAGCATCGGGGAGAGTATCGCACCCTGAGGTACTCCACACACCAAGGAGTGGCGCGATGACAATTCCCCCCCAAGCACCACCCTCTGTCCCCGACCAGAGAGAAACGAGCGCAGCCATTGAAGGACTGTGCCCTGGATCCCCACGTCGGCAAGGCGGTGGTCTAGAAGTTCGTGATCGACCATGTCGAAAGCTGCTGACAGATCTAGAAGAATCAGCAGCCCCGACCCGCCTCGATCCAGCTGTCTACGAAGATCATCTGTTAGGGCAACCAGAGCCGTCTCGGTCCCATGACCAGTGCGGAAGCCGGACTGGAATGGATCCAGAGCCGATGTTTCATCCAGAAAACCACCAAGCTGTTCAGCAACCGCTCTCTCAATCACCTTACCCAGGAACGGAAGATTCGAAACCGGGCGGTAATTGGATAGATCTAAAGGATCTAATGATGTTTTCTTTAAGAGCGGGCGCACCACTGCCTCCTTCAGTTCCCCTGGGAATGTCCCCGTGCCAAGGGACAAATTGATGATATCCCCCAGGAGGGCCCGCACCTCGTCTGGACACGCTCTAATCAGCCAAGACGGGCACGGGTCGAGAGGACAGGTGGTGGGCTTTCCAGCTCGGAGGAGTCTGTCCACATCGGCTGGGGATATCCGGTCGAAGTGGTCCAATACTGGACCCGAGGACAGTCGAGGGGCCTCCAGTTCCTTTATTGTATCCAAATTGGCCGGGAGGTCATGGCGGAGCAACAAGACCTTCTCCGCAAAAAGCTCGCAAATGCCTCACAGCTGTGTGTCAAATTGTTATTTAAATTTGGCTGTCCCTCAAGGGACGTTAAAGACCTGATTATACTAAATAATTGCGCCGGGCGAGAGCTTGCGGATGCAATGGAGGCCGAGAAGTATGACTTCTTAGCAGCCTTCACCGCCATCTCGTAGGTTTTCATAAAAGCCCTATAAGATGTTCTTGAGGCTCCGTCACGGGCACCCCGCCATACTCGCTCTAGCCGTCTGAGGTCCCGCTTCATTTTCCGGAGCTCCTCGGTAAACCAGGGAGCCCGGTTTCTGCGGGGTCGCAGAGGGCGCTTAGGTGCGATCTCATCGATGGCTGCCAGGAGCTGGGTATTCCAGCCCTCAACAAGCTCAGTCAATGAGTCGCCAGGGGAGCAAGGTCCCGCAAGGCTTGGCGGAATCTATCAGGGTCCATCAGCCTCTGCGGGCGAGCCCAAATCGGCTCGCCACCTAAGCAGGGTGGGGGTGGAAAGTCAATCCTGGCTTTCAGAGCGTAGTGATCAGACCATGGCACCTTCATCGAAGGAGACATGATCACATCTATACCTACGCCAAAGATCAAATCCAGCGTGTGGCCTGCTTGATGTGTGGTCGCAAGGGAGCTATGTGCAACAGCTGCGCTGGTGGCTTTCAAATGCCAATGAATCCATTCCACAATTGTTTTTTGAGGCCTACCTGTTACAGAGGATTCTGGGTACATTCAACTCACATTGGGCACTGGCGAGGCATATTTTTACTTAATCAGTGTCTTCCATGAGCTGAAAGGGCACCTTAGAGCACACACAGCACAATCCTTGGGCCACATCCTGCCCGCGAGCACACGGTGGACGTGCTCTGTTTCAGCAAGGCTTGTTTGCCATTACTGATTGAAGGATGCCAGGTTGAGCTGAGTTCCCATAACAACATCTATTACATTCTGCTGATTAAGTTTTATGAGTCTTGTGCAAAGAACCATGTAGGAAATGCAATCTGGCTTTAGGAACAGCAAATCTCTCATCATTTGTTACCTTCCTCCCTTGTATTTGGGGCTCTGAGGCATCAATTGCAGCTTCCCTTGAGAGTCAGATTGGAAATTTAACCCAGAGCCAGAAGACCACAGTTAACTACTTGTTTATTACATTGACTTAAAGGAACATAATTTGCATAACATAACAGACGCCAAGCTGCAGGTCATGAAAAGGTTGGTCGTTTTACAGCATTTAAACTTTGAAATTGTTTCCTGCTAGTAAAGAGAAACTCCCATCAGCCTCCGGAAACTGTGCACAGAGAGAATTATAGAAATGCCAAAAGATGAAAGGCTTTCCCCTCATGGTTCATTGTTTCTGATCTTTCAGCAATGTTACCAATGCATTTTCAAGTTTTTCTTCCTCCCTTCCTAGATGGTGAGATTTAAAGCCTTCTTTTTAAATTAAAGTTGTGGGTTCTTGGGAGACTTGAGGTTTTGTAGACTAGAAACGTATCATAAGGACTTGTATGTTATAACAAGCAGGAAATCTGCAGCTGAAAAATGGTCTTTTCTGTTTCCCTGCTACATTTTCACCCTAATTGTGAGGAGAGCTTAAACATAGCCATTTGGGGCTTCTCTTCCAATTATTCTGATACTTTCATAAATGTTGATGCCAAATTCTGCTTTCAAATTTAGATGAAAAGCTAAATTAAGTTTTAAATAAATACATGAAATCTGAAAAAATGGCCTGCAGAAGTTTGCTGGAGTATGTAGCAAAATATTTTTGCAGACAGCTGAAGAATTCAAGTTAGCTGGGTTTTATTTCAAGTTTGGTTTTACAAAATTGTTTATCAATATTTTAGATTAGCATTCCTTTCTCTAGATTGTGTCAGATAGTGTTACAACAGGGTTATATTTGGATATTGTATGGATACATTTTATATTTTCCATTTAATATTGGCATAATTTACAATCCTTCCAGTATTTACTCTGTCAATAGTATGTTCGTCAGGAAAGTATTCCAGCCACTGGCTCAAATAATATTAATTAATTTTATAATAATTAAAAATTCTAATTTGACCTTAATTTTTAATTAATTCCTGCAGAAGAGATTAAACAATTTTACAATAACTATTTTTTAATAAGAAGAATAGACGAGCAAATGGGGGGGGCACAATTTAAATTCTGGCAGGGTTTTAATAAATAGCAAATAGTGTTATATAAATGCAATTGCCGTCTAAGGATTAAATATATATTTTTAATAATTTGAGTTCTGTTTATTTGCTGTTTAGGAGTAAGATTCAATGTAGAGTCATTTGTGCAGCAATGTCCCTTAAACCATTTTGGGGGGTAGGTTCTGAATGGGGAGAAGAAAATCGGAAGTTCCATTGTTTAAACCAACTTCCAGTTGAATTTAAATTCCATGAACAGGCAGACATTGTTCAGTGTCGCCCTATAAATTCTTCACTATCTGATTTCCCATTGTAAATGAGTACATCATATCTAGGAACACAAACAGGAGATATTTTGTTCTTGTTCCTATATTACTGGGATGGGAATAATTCTGACAGGTTCTTCTAAGTGAGAGAGCAGTACAAGAGTGATCTCTTTGGATGAGGACGTTATAGTCTGATCTGATGCTGCCTCTGTTACATGTATAAAAGCTGATAAGGCTTTAACCAAGACAGCTAAATTTATTGCAGAACCTAAATGTTAGATTTTCTTTTTTGTCCTCTAGCTTTTAGACTGTGGTGATATTAGTTGTCTTAATACTGGGTATTTGGAGATGGGGACAAGAAGAAAATGTAATGCACTATTGTAAGCTCTAATTAAAATACAGAGGAGATGAAGGACATCAGTGGTGTACTGATGTTCCAACCGAAGGGGGCGAGCATAACCATTCTTTAACTTCCTGTTATATTTTATTTTATTTTATAGGTTAGCTGAATCATCGGTGGATCTTAACCTTAAATTGATGTGTTGGCGGTTAGTGCCTACTCTTGACCTGGAGAAAGTTGTGTCTGTAAAGTGTCTTCTCCTAGGAGCTGGTACGCTGGGTTGTAGTGTAGCCAGAACTTTGATGGCAAGTACTGAAGCTACTCCACATATTCAAACGCTGTCCCATTATTTTGTATCAGTATGTATGAAGCAAAATAGGTGTCCAATAAGAGTCCTTCTTTCTTCCTCCTGTTCATGGGATTCTCTCTTTGACAGCCCCTACCCTGGAGGCTCAAAAGTGTGCTCACACAAGAGCCAGTTTGGTGTAGTGGTTAAGAGCGGTAGTCTCGTAATCTGGGGAACCGGGTTCGCGTCTCCGCGCCTCCACATGCAGCTGCTGGGTGACCTTGGGCTAGTCACACTTCTCTGAAGTCTCTCAGCCCCACTCACCTCACAGGGTGTTTGTTGTGGGGGAGGAAGGGAAAGGAGATTGTTAGCCGCTTTGAGACTCCTTAGGCTAGTGATTAAGCGGGATATCAAATCCAAACTCTTCTTGTTAACATGCAGGAAGCAGGCTGGGCCATCGTATCCTTCGCAATGAAAGGTACAAAATTTGCCAAACTATACCTTAACAAATGAACACTATCTAATTAAGGTGCATATAACCCTTCTTCAGGGGTTTGGAAGGGAAATGGTTTCTATCAATTGGCTGCATCATTATTTTTTTTAGTGGCGTAGTGCAGCTTGTGAAATAATCAACCTGAGTCCTGAGTAAAAGCCTGGGATTAACAGAAATAAAACATAAACTGTGATTAGTGCATATATTCCATTCTGCTCTTCTATTTTACTTTTGCTATTAGTTGAAATAGCATAATTGTTCTCAAAATGTGAGATGGATTTCTCTGAGGAGTTATCGAATATGGAATGAGCACACTACTGACCACACTTAGTGTGTGTCTGGAGGATGGCAACACAAGAACGGGCCTTTTCTGTGGTGGCTCCCTGTTTGTGGAACGCTCTCCCCAGGGAGGCTTGCCTGGGGCCTTCATTACATATCTTTAGGCACAAGGCAAAAACGTTTATAACTAGGCCTTTGGCCAATTAACATTCTATGGCCTTTTAAATGTGTTTGTGGGAGAAGGGTTATTGGTTTGTTTTTGTATATCATGTATTGTGTGTTCTCATTTTGTAATTTTTTTGTTGTGAATCACCCTGTGTCTTTGGATAAAGGGCGGTATACAAATTTAACAAATAAAAAGTATAAAAAAATAGATTAGTGGTAATTCTTGCCTTACTCAAAGAACTATTTCATTGCTTGTGGTTTTCTACTCAGGGATGGGGAGTCAGGAAGATCACATTTGTGGACAACGCAAAGATTTCTTATTCCAACCCTGTGCGGCAACCACTCTATGAATTTGAAGACTGCCTCGGGGGTGGGAAGTCCAAAGCACTTGCAGCAGCAGACAGGCTCCAAAAAATATTCCCAGGAGTGGTGAGTAAAATGCATTGAGACGTGATTTAATGATCAAAACACTTTATTAGTTTCAATAACGGCCTAGGATTTCTTCTCATGCCCATTCTTCAAAAGTGAACTAACCCACAAGGAAATAATTCTGATGTTACGGTGACTGACTAGCTTTGACAGCTAGTCATTTACACGGAAAAAAAGAACTGAAATTAAACCTGCTTGAAGCAATCAAAATAAAAACGAGGCACAAAGGAAGAGTTTAGGAAAAGTAAACTGAGCACTATTTAGCTGTACTTAGTTCTTCATCAAAATGAAGTGACAGAGGAAAAGTGTCATTTAGCACAGAGTGTTATTCACACAGCCATAAAAATAATCTCTACCACCATACCATTTATAGCAAATACAGGGTATATCTGCCTTATTAGAGACCCTTACTTGGAATGCATGCAATTGCAGACTGATAATTCTAATTACCGTATATTTGCTTGAGAGTAGACATACCAGCTTATTATTTCAGACAGCAATTGCAGGAAAAAAATATTACATGTTGGCGGAATCCAGTTGATCTTTCTAGTACAACTGCTGCAACGAAGGCATCTGCTAATTGCTTCTTCAAGCACACGCACCCGCCCCCCAAAAAAGATAAGTTGGGGACTCAGGAACTGTCTAGGACAGATTTTGGGGTACAGGGCTGCAGCTGAGAGGGGAATTGGCAAGTATAGCATGCCTCCCGTTAACTGGTGTCTCTCCTTGGACCAAAGGCCTTTTAAACCAATCATCAGCTTTCCTCAGAGAAAACCTGGTACTGGAGTGTTAAACCAGGATGCCATGCAGCATGAAGTAGAAAATTCAGCACCTTCCTAAATTATATTTATTTGTATATTTACATTTCTAACTCGCCCTTTATCAGAACATTA